CCTCAAGAAACAGTAGATTCATGTAGAGTAACAGAAGAACAGGAGATATTTGTGTAAAACAGGAGATTACTTGTAAAATCGGGTGACCTGGCAACCCCGCCAGAAGTGCTCACAGATCACAGTTTTTGATATTAAATTTTACCTATTACCTCTTGGCATCAACAGGACAAGAGTCTTGACAGACGAACAGATGGGCAACAAAGTGATCCAAACAGTTTTCAATTACTATTCACGGTCGCGGAACTCCGAAAACGTTTCTTTTTATAAAAATCCGCTCACTAAATCAAGTTCTCCGACACGTAAGCGATTTAACTCGTAAAATGTTTTTATGTAGCTATAATGAATGCCGTTACCGCCGGTCGCCTAGCGGCAGCAAATATTTTGTATAAAATTTCAAAGGTTTATATTCACCAATCCGTGTGTTTCGCGCGAAACTTTTCAACCCTTGCCGACCGCCCGCATCACTCTTTTGAGAGTGTAAACAATTTCATCCGTAACGAGTCACTCAAAAAACGGGGCAATGTGACGTCCGAGATGGGACATATGGTTGTTTTGGTTGTTCAAAAAACTGTCACTTTCATGACTTTCATAATATTATTGCTAGATATGTAGAGAAAATTTCACTAAAAAAGGCTACTCGGTTCAAGCATCAGGCAGAATTTGAATTTGTACCATAGATGGCGCTGTCTTGCAGTCTAATGCTTATTCCACACTGCGTGGCGAAGCTTTGGGTAGCTTTGAGCTTTGGTTTTAATATTAGCGTCCCAAATCTGAATTCAATTTGGCAAGGCCAGTAAGATAGTCCGATTTAACCGCCCCAGACTCCTTTCTTTGAGGCGAGTCTTGAAGTCTCAGGCTTATGCCGACAAGCCTCAGACAGTTATCATGACAGAAATCTTGCGAAAATCATAGAAAATGGTAGAAACACTGGCGGTAGTCAATTGACGTTTACCATCATACACCACCTAACAGAAAAAAATAAGGTCCCAATAAAGATTTCTATCACTCAAAATCATATTCTTTTATCAAGTAAAAAAAATAAACAAAAACGAAATCGAATAATTGCTTTTGCGCCAGCATGTACATTTTCACTAGCAAGGTTCCAAAGGACGCGAAGTGATGCAGCGTGAGGAGTTAAGGGTCGAAGAGAGAGAGTTGAGACAGCCACCACGAAGTTGAGATGGCTGTGGTGGCCCCTTACAATTAGACGCTATACGATCGACTGAGCAGCGATTCGTTCCTAGAATGATGCGTGAGGCTATTGAGATTAAAAAATATCCAAATTTCAATAGGGAAGATGGTTGGTTGTACCACCAGCTTGGGAACCCATTATACAAGAGATAAAATCCCAACCCCGAGCACACACTGCAAGACCAACAGATACTATTATTTCTTTTTGTTTGCATAATTTATAATTTAACATAAGAAGGAGATAGAAAGCCTCTCTGAGTTTGTTTCGCCGGTCCTACTCAGAAAGGTTTCCCAATTTTGGAACCGGTGGTAGTTTACGGTAGTTAGGGTCAAATAAATAAACTCAAAATTACAAAAAAGATTTTTAAATAAAGTACTTTACTAACTAAATTAACTAATAAATTCATACAAAGACAATAAAGTTTTAAAAATCTTACAATGAAATATCCGAACGCTCAATACAAGTCTTTCGAAGGTAGCTCGACAAAGTAAATAAAAAATCATTATTCTGACGATGCAGACCTGAAAAGGCTGCGAAACGTCAATAAATGAATAAAGTTCGTGCATTAACCCGTTAAAACTAGTTTTATTTAATGAGTGATGTGTGTGAAAACCTAAGAAACGAATACGCTTTAAGATCGTTTGCCATCCTTTTAACATACAAAAACACTAACAAAATATGAAGATACTAAACCGAAATCCGAATTATATCCAAAATTAAAACTGTATACAGTTCGAATGGAACGTTGTATCATTCGCCGGAATAAGAGCGGCTGAAACTCCGTATTACCCGAAGTCCTCAAATAAATTCCCGCGCAACGTTTCACGGTCTTTCATAAGGAAAATAGTAAATAAATTCAGTTGATCAGGGCTGTGGAAAGTAGAAATTGCAGGGAAAATCTAACGTACGTATTTTTTTCACGTTGTTTTTTTTTATATATAAAAAATAGCTTCACGGCGCAGGTGGTTTGAAATTAAGCAACTTTCGCAGTGGTCGGTCATTGGATGGGTGACCAAAAATCTTCTATCTCGAGTTCCTCCATGCTTCGTCCTGTTAAGCCGTTGGTCCCGGCTGCATCTGCAGTCGTTAGCACCCGCCAATCCGCACTGGGCCCGCGTGGCGGGTCATGACCGAATATATTCCATTCATAGGGAAGGCCTATGCCCCAGGAGTTGGGACATTAATAGGCTGATGATGATGTTAAAAAATATGCTCAAAACGAAGACTGAAGGAATTACGTATATGTCTAACTTAATATTTCGTTATATTTGTTATTTTTTAAGCATGTAACTACTAACTGTAATTTGACTTTGTGGGTTACCTACAATGCGAATAGATGGCGCTGCAATGCAACAGGGTTTGGGGGAGGACGAGAACGGGGCCCGTGAGAGGTGCGGGCGGCGGGCACATTCTTGTAAAAGTTACAACTGCCCGCTCTCACGGCCCCCTTTCTCGTCCTCCCTCACACCCTATACCCCGCAGGTGAGGTCTCAGTAATGCGGTTATTATTAAAATAATAATTGTAAGCGTTTAATAACTGTCCCAGACACATACGTACGTAATTATTATTAGTCAACCGTACGACTCAACAAATTCAAGAGAAGTTTCGTTTCTTGACAATTATTTGAGTTTTTTTGACACATTTGTTTCTTAGGTTTTCACGCGCATCATTCATTAAATAAAACGATTTTTACTGGTTATATGCACTGAATTTATTTATCTGACGTTTCGCAAAGAAAATAAAAATCGTTTTATTTTTTTGACACTCTAACCAAAACACGTTACAAACATTTTACCGTGACCTCATAGAATTAATCAGGAATTATCTCTATATTTTTCAAGCTATATAATATTAAAATTACTGACTTCCTGGAATGTATTTTTTTCATTCTTCAGTCTCGACTCCCTTTCAGCGGTGTCAGCCCTACAAAGTTAGACGAAGTTGGACGGTAATCTGGAGAATTCTCGTATTTATTTAAACTCGGCACTCTAACAGCTCTTTGATATTTATAATGTGTCTCCGCATTTCTTTCGGAAGCCCTGCGGCCTGTCGCCAGTTAAATCGCAAGTCTAAAAATTATTGTCCCGAATAATCTTATGAGATTAGCATAAAAATGCGATATAGGTAGACATTTAAATGAAACACTGTTTTTTTTTCTTTGGCTTCTTATTTTTATTCGTCGTTCCGGGAACGGACCGAAAACTGGAGTCATTTCCTTAAAATTCCCTACGTACGGTTGAGTTATGGAGTGGTTTGAATTGTGTTCTTCGTGGTATGATTTTTAATGTTCAGTTATTTCTTTAGTTACTTCTTTTTTATTCGTATATTTTTATCGACTTCAAAAAAAGTAGGTTTAAATTTTTAAATGTTAACGATTTCACCTAATATCGTTTACAAAGAGTACAGCCTAAACGAAGGAAAATCATGTCACCTACTTTAGCTAGGTACGACATGTGGTTATAATATTTCAACAACACCGGGAATAAAATCGAGAGCATAGCATGGGCACAGCTAGTTAAAACATAATCATCAAAAGCGCTCTAACTATCGTGAGGATATTTGCGAAAAACTATTAAAAAAATACTGACGAATTGAGAACTCCGTTCTTTTACAGGCGGTTCATAAAGATCCATGATTCACGTATCACGTAAATAAATTACCTTAAGGGTAGTAAAGATCCTTAGAACCAAAATGCAGGATCTTTATATTTGTTAAAAATGGACAGCATGACCAATCATAGTGATCAGTACCTCTAGCACGAACCAATATCGAATTAGAATAGTTTGCGAACCCGAAATGTCATAGTCAAATTTTGTATGAAAACTTCAACAGCAACGCCAAAACGGACCTAACGAGAACTATACTTAGTACACAATTGACAATGACATTGCGTAGTCGCAAACTATTCGAATTTGATAATAGTTCGTGCTAGGGGTATAGGGGTACCTATTATTGTTAACAGCTGGCTACACTACAAGCTTCGGTAACTAAGCCAGGCACTAAATAAGGCTGTGTGTAGCGTTAGTCTTAATTTAGTACCTACGACAAGGACCATAGAGAGCTATTCTACTAAGTTCTGATTTCTCTAACACTAAATAAAATTCATTTGCCTGATATCGTATTATACGGATAAAATAAAAAGTTGACTTGTGTTCATCATCATCATCAGCCTATTAATGTCCCCACCGCTGGGGTACAGTCCTTCCCAATGGATGGAATAGGGAGATTGGGCCATGATCCATCATGCGGGACCAGTGTGGATTGGCGGGTGCTAACGATTGCAGATGCAGCCAGGACCAACGGCTTAACGTGCCTTCCGAAGCACGGAGGAACTCGAAGATAGAAGATTTTTGGTCACCCATCCAGTGAGCGACCATTGCGAAAGTTGATTGATTTCAACGATCGCAGCCGAATGCGCTAGCCACCTACGCCATCGAGCTCCTCTTGACTTGTGTAAATTGCAGTAATGTAACGGATGACATTTCTCTCTATTTGATTGAGTATTAATTTATTGTAAAGTTAAGTTCCGTCCGAGTTTTGAAAAATCGGGTCTTAATAGTGCAACGTTATTGTAGCGGTTCGATGTTCTTAGTCACCTTAATATGAAGTGAAATAAAAACTTTATTGGACAACTTAACAAAAAAAAACCTTATAAATAAAACTATAAAAAAAATACAAGAAAAAATCAAAAACAGAAAAATATGAAATTAAAATGAATGCAGTAAGAGAGGTGAGTCATACACAACGAACTTTCCACTCAAATTGGAGCACCCATCCAGTCCACCCAGCGAAATCTTAGGAACTAACCTCCTCTTAGAGAAGATCCCAGTGAAATAACACTACCCTTTAATTATATTTCCAACACACACCAATTAGTCTAGCGCCAAAGTAAGCACTGTTAAGGTACTATTCCGTGAATCGCGATTGATCGCGGCCGCACGCGGCCTATGACTGTCGTCGGTCGCTCGCGACAACAGTCATAGTATGAAAATGTGCGGCACCGCTTCCGAGACCGGCGACAGACGCGCGCGGCCGTCGACTGTCGTGAGCCGCGCGTATCTCGACATGCTCAGCGCTCAGTAACATCTTGGATTTCATGGCGCAAACATGTCTAGGAACGCATAGAAAATTTCCGGAACTTTTTTTCATGACAATACAAATGCTTTTGAATCAATATTTGGTAGTATCCTTCTTCGTTTCTGCTTTTAAAGATAGGGCGATTGGTTCTCTTTTTTCATAATATAACAACAGGCCGGCCGCGCTTCTGTCGCCGGCCAAGGAAGCGGTGCCATACATTTTCATACTATGACTATTGTCGCGAGCGGTCGACGACAGTCGTAGGCCGCGATCGATCGCAATGCACGGAATAGTACCTTATGGCTTGTGTTATGGGATACTAGGGTAACGGATAGAATACATATACTGTACATATATAAGTATATTTATATAGAAATACATATTAAACATCCATGGCTGGAGTACAAATGCTCGTATTCATCACAGCAACATCTGCCCCCACCGGGATTCGAACCCGGAACCTCTCGAGTCGGCGACAACCATGAAACCCCTCGGCCACGGAGGTCGACATACCCTAAACCCTTAACCTAAAGAACATAACAACTACCTATATTTAATACGAAAAATCAGGTCCCAGCCTCAGTTTATGCTGACACAGTGAGAAAATACTTTATATCGCCAATGATAAGCTTCTTTTTGTTGTGCCTTTCATTGCGCGGAGGCTGTGTTTTATTTTTAACGTTTTGCGCGTGGCTGTAACATCGCCTTCTGTGCATAAACAAATTGAATTTCGCACAATGAATTCGTCGGAATTGCAAAAATGCTGAGTGCGCTCGCTCTAGCCGAAAATGTCCGCTTACGAAATTTTCGTCTTTGAATTTTCGGTTATGTCGCCTCGCAAATGAGATGAAGGCTGTCGGGAAAGGATTATTATATTACTTTCATGAGATTTTTCGGCTACAAACGTTGTTGTTCGCTTCGTTGAACACTGATAGTCAGTGTGAAACGCGACACGACCGTGGATTTTGAAGGGAAGGTGATTCGAAGATAATTTTCCCTCGAACAAAGGTTGACGTGGTAGATTTTGGTTTAATACTGTTTAGGGTTCCGTACCCAAAAGGTAAAAACTAAACGCTATTGCTGTCACTCTGTCATCTGTCTGTCCGTATGTCTCGGGTCTCTAGATCCTAAACTTAATTAGGTACAGAACTGAAATATTAGTATTTTATGTATAATGCTTGCCCAAAACCGAATCTTTACATAAACATTCAATTAAATTATTTTTCAGGGCGGGTTCCATACATGAAAAGAAGACATTTTTTTCTTTTTTACCCCAGCATGTATCATGTAATTTTTATTTGTCTAGTTTGGATGTATTATTGCTTTTGTGGGTTGACGAAAATTGTATGTACGTGACAAACATAAAAAGTGGTAAAGTGGTAAAAAGTAGTGATTAAGAAGTCTCCACCATTGTCGACCCGAGGCCGCTAGGGATACTGCCAGGGGTGAAAGAGGTAGGCGGTCGCCTCCTTCTGCGAGAACGTTATCTCGCAGAAGGAGGCGACTGAGAGGGAGAGGGAGGATGATCCCCTGGCCGCTCCCTCCCGCCAAAGGAGGACGGGTAGGAGAGGACGGCGGTGCACCCTGGCTGCGCCCGTCTCATGACCCTACCCGGGGGGTCCCTCGCTAACCGGCGTCAGCTGTGCCGGCCACCGACGGACCCCGTGACGGCAGCCCCTCTTGTAGTTCTATCCTGCAAAGAGGGGGGCGGTGGAGGGAGCTACACGGGCACGCCCAAGTAGCCCTCCGCAGCGGACGGGGGGCGGTACGGTGGGCAGTAGGCCGCGTACTCAGCCCCCATGCGCGAGCCATCCTGCGCACGTCTGCGGGGTCCCCGCGATACCCCGGGAGACCCCTGCCGTGGAGTCCCGGCTAGGCCGGGAGGCTGCTAGGTGCGGAGACGCGGAAGAATCCCTAAACGGGGATCCCGCGGCTTCGCGCTAAGCAACTCAGAGGGTATTCGCAGGGTTTTTTAGCGTATATTATGCCGTAAAGTGCCCGAAAGAGTTATGGGGTTCTCAGTGGGTAGCCACTGCTGGGGCTCGTAAGGCTTATGGGAGCAAGGTGTGAGGTCCGTTCGGCGGTGTGCCTCTTAAAGGCACAGTAGTTTTTGCCTGCGTATAATAAAAGGGGGTGAAAGAGGTGTTAAAAGTATAGACATAGAGATAGGAGAGGAAAACAGAGAAGTATTAAGATGAGGTAAGATGTAATATGTCATTGTCTAGAACTGGTGAAGAAGGGTATAAATGAATATCATTTTTTTATGTTTTGTGCAGTTTAGGATTTATAAATTAATCCGTCGAATATGTATGTGACCTTTATTTCAAGTAGTTAGTACAATTTCTGCTTTATGCAAAACTGAATAATTGAAGCGAAATTGATTCAATCAAATAAAACAAATAACGAATTCCAAATGGAAATCAGACTAAAAGAGAATAATTAATTGAGATCAATCTTAGGGAAGGGCCCTATTGTAAATTGAAATTTCACTATTCTATCAATCCTTGATTCAATTCCTTATCAAAATCGATGAATAATAAATATTATTGAATTTATTTTTATTTCATTTGAGTTCTCAACGGTTCAATGTTTAGCTCATTCGGCTTGCGATCGTGAATGTTAAGCTTTTCAAACTAAAAATCATTTATTCAGTTTAGGCTGTTACAAGTACTCATGAATGCCTTGAAGCTACCGGTGAAGTCTATGGCGTAAGACCTTATTATACTGAGAAAAAGCGACAAGAAACTCAGCAAGGACTGTTTTTCTTTCTCTCTGTATTATTATTTACAAGTCAAGTTGGAAAATAACTTCAGACATGATTCGTGAAATCACTTTTAATGACATATTATGATCACCTACACTTTCATAGTTGTGTCATAAAGTATAAATACAAGTAGTTTTGTTTTTATTCAATAGCAAAGTTGTTAGAGTGGACTCATCTGCGCTGGCAGCACCCTTACACGAGCATGACGCATGAACCAAGCCTCCATGAACCAAGCATGAACGCAGAACGTGACGACTAGCAACTTTCGAAATTACCTAATAATCAATAATGATATTAATTATTGATTTATTAGTTTAATGTTATACATTAAACACGTACAAAGCAATGCCGTGTGAAGAGTGGTAAATTATATTTATCGATGTGGAAGTGACAGTTCACTCAAACGAACTATGATCGTATTTACCTAGAACGCTTGGGTGAATGACACGATACAGAATCAAACAATGAAAAAGATAAACAAATGAAGCTGTTCTTTTAATATATTGTTTTAAACTTTCATGGTCACTAACCTTATAGATATTAACGGGATTGTTACCATGTACCTTGTTTTTTATGAGTCTCCAATATTTCGGCACTCCGTGATCATGGAGCTTGCAACAGTGCCGAAATATCGGAGACTCGTAAAAAACAAGGTACATGGTAACAATCCCGTTAATATCTATAATTTTCTTTTGATGTTGCATTTCCAACCAATTATGCTCAGACCAGTTCTGAGCAAGAAAACATTTGCTCGCTCGGTAAATGAACACATAAGAACAATGTTTGGCTAGACTTAGCGAAGAAACAACGCCTTTGTTTTGAGAATTCCATTTACCGAACGAACAAATGTTTGCTGAATCGGCACTGTTCTGAGCACTAGGTGGAAACGCAGCTTAAAAACGTTGCTTCTTGATTGATATCACATCGAGGTCTCTGAGGATCGGGATACAAATCACTGCGACAATGTATTACGTGGATTGGAACCTGTATTGACATTGACACAAGTGCATCGTCTATATTAATTGTCACGCACAATCGATAGGTTTCACTTACAAACGCGATCGTTGGCGATTGTTCATTGGTGCAATTAAGAGAGCAATATCTATTTTCTTATAATAAATCTCTAATTTTCTTCGTCACGCCATGCCTTAAAAGCAACCCTTTTTTTTCTCCGTTGATTATTTACACGCCTAGATACCGTATTTACTGAACCGAAGCCGCCTCAAAACATATCTACTACATATGGTAGACATGCTCGTCGCTACACACGCTTTCAAACAATTTAAAATTAGAGTCCGGCACACATTGCACATTGAGGAGCTCTAAGACGCAGGTGGTTAGCGCGTTCGGTTGCGATCGTTGAAGTTAAGCAACTTTCGCAGTGCTCGGTCATTGGATGGGTGACCTAAAATCTTCTATCTCGAGTTCCTCTGTGCTTCGGAAGGCTCGTTAGGCCGTTGGTCCCGGTTGCATCTGCAGTCGAAGCACCCGCCAATCCGCACTAGGCCAGCGTTTTGGGTTCATGGCCCAATCTCCCTATTCCATCCATAGGAAACGTCTGTTCCCCAGCAGTGGGGAGATTAATAGGCTGATGATGATAATGATGACACATTGCACGTAACATGAGCCGTTTCTGTGCATGTTTTTTTAGATTGCTCTATCTAGGCGTGGTAAGTATGGAAAAAAAATATTTGAAAATAACATACAACTATACTAGATAGTGTTTGGCGCTTCAGTTGAATTTATAGTTTATTTACTCGAGTGGGACTATGTCGTCATGGCGTTTTTTGACTATGGTATTGGCTAAGACTAATTTGTTAGCCTAAAATATAACCTTATTCTGTGAAATTGGTGCGGCGACATATTGAACGCGTTTTTTATCGAATACGCAGTGCATCATCATTATCAGACTATTTATGTCCCCACTGCTGGGGGACAGGATTTCCCTATGGATGTAGTAGGGAGATTGGGCCATGACCCACCACGCGGGCCCAGTGCAGATTGTTGGGTGCTGACGACTGCAGATGCAGCCGGGACCAACAGCTTAACGTGCCTTCCGAAGTACGGAGGAGCTCTAAATAGTAAATTTTAGTCACCCATCCAATGACCGACTACAGCGAAAGTTGCTTAACTTCAACGATCGCAGCCGAACGCGCGAACCACTTGCGCCATCCATCTCCTCAATA